TTTGACACCACCAGCAGGGTAGACACTGAGGAGAGATGCAAGAGGAAATGGCATGGCCTTCATCCTCAAGTTGATAGCACGTAGATGGAAATATTAGCAAAGACCAAGGCACCATGCAGCATTTCAGCAAGTGGGAGGGGTCTTCAAGTTCAAGGGTCACAAGTACATGAACTACTTTGAAATGTTCATTTAGTGCCCAGAGACCTGTATTTCTCTTTCTCTCTCCTTCTCTCCTCACACCTTTCCTTTTAATATCCTGTCTTTTTCTAGCCACTTCTTCCCCACTTCCCTTTGCCGTTCACTCCCACCAGAGCCCATGGCTGGATGTGGCACTGCCCCCCTCCCAGCCTCGGGGGCCTGAACAGCCTCTGGCACTTCCTTCTGTTCCTTTTCATGGTCACCAGCAAGGACAGGGAGGGGCCTTCAGATCTCTGAGGAAAGAGCAGGTTTCTGGGGGCAAAAATGTTCTTTTCCAAAAGTCAGGGTTTAGAGTTTAGGAGGGTTTTATTGAAAACTTGAAGGAAATAGAGGAATGTCCTCTCTCTTTTCCTGTTGGTGGTTCGTTTTGTTTTTGTTTTATGTTTTTCTGCTGTGATAATGAGGGTCTCACGTGCGAATAGCAAGAACATGAAACATGGACATTTTATAAGTCAACCAACTTGTGTGTCATTTACAATTAAGAAATGTTCCCAGATGGGCCCAAACTGGAGAGTCTCAAAAACTATGTATTTATGCATTTCTAGTTTACCCCAAAACTTATTTTTCTATCCCCAAAGCATACTTTTTCCTCTCAACATGACTCTTCTAAAATTGTCGTCTGTGCCTAAGAAAATGAAACTGTGGAAGATCCTCTATGGCTGTAGAGCAACCATATGCCCTGGTTCAGGCTGCCATATGCTACATTTGAAAATATCAAAAGAGGTTTGCCTAAAAGCGAGTCTTGTAAACTGAGCTTTTGGTAAGAATTTTATGGGCCTTCCTCATTTTAAAATATGTACATATCTCATTTAAGTAGGATTGTCTCGATTAGCAGAGGTTTAGCCCACATTTACTACCTAGTAAATATTTGCTGAATGGCCCTGACCAGTTTGGCTTAGTGGATAAAGCATCAGCCTGCAGACTCAAGGGTCCCAGGTTCGATTCTGATCAAGGGAATGTACCTTGATTGCGGGCACATCCCCAGTAGGGGTGTGCAGGAGGCAGCTGATCGATGTTTCTCTCTCATCGATGTTTCTAACTCTCTATCCCTCTCCCTTCCTCTCTGTAAAAAATCAATAAAATATATAAAAAATATATATATATTTGCTGAATGAAGGATCAAGGAGTGTCAATATAGGAAGGTGTAGGATGACAGAACTATTGCCCTGGCATTAATCACTAAGCTGCGAAGTATACGGTGAGCAAGTCCCCTGTCCCAGGATCTCTCATAAGAGCACCATTTGTGTGCTGTCTCCATTTCAAAGAACCCCAGTTTTCAAGTCCCCTGGGTTCTCTACTGTCCTAACTTACAGGTGTGTTGCTTGGGCCATGTTTATCTAATTCAGTTCTCCAAGGCCAGACTGCATCCAGAAGGGCTGACTGGAATGTATGCATAGAGAAGGGGCCACCTCAGGGCCAAAGGGCAGGCCTGGTGTCAGGATGCCTGTTCACGAGAAGCACCTAGCCAGGGGCTAATAGTAACGTTATTATCAAGCACTTATGTGCTGGCCATCATGCTGATCTCACCTAATCCAGCATCTCCGCCAGCTCGGTCTGATTGATCATTTTCCAGAGGGGCAAATGGAAGCTCCAGGCCCTTCCTGGGACTTTCATTTCCGGCGGGGTGGCCAACTAGACCATCACAAAGGCCCTCTGACCACAAGAAACAACAATTTGTTTTTAAAACTCACTGCTGAAATGTTTTTTTTTTAAAAAAAAAAAAAAGGGAAAAAAGGGATATGGGGGGGCCCATATGCCAGAAGCAAGGAGGCAGGTGAAAGCCAGAGCAGTAGACACTGGGAGCCTGAAATGAGTCCGACAGCCCCGTCTCCAGGAGCTCATGGTCTGGGAGGGAGACAGAGAAAGTCAGTCACAGTGTCAGGGAGGCCAGGGCTATGATGGAGGTCGCCCAGTGGCTGGAAGTGCACAGAGCAGTGGTATTTCAGCAAGACTCAGAAACCCATGCTTTCCACTTACGAAATAGTTCCTAAAAGTCTCTTCAAGACTCAGAAACCTCTCCTACCCCACAAAGACCTGAGTTCAGATTTCTGAGTCAGCTTCTTCACTGACTAACTGTGGAACCTCAACCCAGTGACTTCACCGTGAGCCCTGGTTCCTTCCCTCCACAATGAGGGTAATGAAGGCGACAGTGGCTACTTCCTGGAGCTGGGGAGACTCCGGGACAATTCTCTTGAAAGCATTCCTTATAAAGCATTTAGCACAGCGCTTGTCACTCAGTAAGTGGCAGCTGTGGTTATCTTCATCATCACCATCATCAGGCTGATATTAAAAGTATTAATGACAATAATAATTTCTGGCTAAGCTTCTTCCAGGTGCCACAGAGCAGTGTGTTTGTAAGGAGGTAGAAGACTGTTTTCCAGGGACTGCTTCAGTGGTAAACAAGAGCAGTCGAGAGCTAATAAAATTTCAAATTAGCCATGACTTTTCACGGCCCTTCAACTGTGCTAGCCGATTTAATGGTCAGCGTCCCCACTCGCGGGGATTGAATAATGGAGCATTTCTGCCGAGTTATGGATGTGGCAGCTGAATCTGTCATGCTAACGTCAATAGCAGAATGCAAATCACCCTCAGCGCGGGCTGCGATTACGTGTTTAAGCGATGTCTGACAGGGCAGCGCGAGAGAGTGTGGCCATGCCCGCCGACTGCAGGAGAAACAGGTGCTTTGCTAGGGAGTTAGTCGGTGTATCTGGGACCTGGGACAGGAGCCGCAGGTTAGGATGCAGGTCAGTGCTGGGTGACAGGAGGCCTGTCTACATCTCAGGATGAATCTGACAGGTGAGCAGACAGAAGGCATATGGCCCTTCATTTTAGTGAGGCTGTTCCAGGTTCAAGATCAGGAAGGCAAACTACCCCTTATTCAGTACTTACTGGGTGCCAGGTACTCCGCTGGATCTGGGGGTGTATTTCTTTATGTAACAAATACTTACACCCACTCCTATAATCCCCTCATAAGAGATGTGACAAACTGAACCCAGAGGGTACTCTGGTGGGCAGCCTCTATATAGCAAACTCACAAAGACAGGAGTGAGGGAAGCATGTCCATGACGAGACTGGGACTCAGAATAAGTACAGAAACTCAATCTGGAACTTGAACTTCCGTCTCAGAGCCTCATTCATCCCCCACCATGTAACACTGTATATTAACTAGAATGAAGATAATGGTGTTCTTGCTTTCATAGACTGTCATTTAGTTTCATTTCCTGATTCAGTGGTTAATTTATTCATTTATCATTCATTTCTTTATTAAACAGTCATATTTTAAACACCTGCACTAAGTATAGAGGACGCAGCAGAGATAACCAGAACAGGGCCAGGCCCCATGGCATGGGGAAGTTTGCCCAAAGCCACAGCTAATAAGCAGGAGAGGCAGAGTGTGACCCATGTCCTCCCTGTCAGGAACAGGGGTCCTTAAACTGTTCTCTGCCAACAACACACAGACTATAACTCTGGATTTCTTTGCCCCTCACTTTGGGCAGCATCCTCTAATCTCTGGATTTGTTGTCCATGTTAAGTTAGTCTGTGGCATGCCTGTAAAAATCCTTTGAGATAATGCGAGCAAAAACCTGTGGTCTGGTGGAATTTCTTTCTTTGAACTTTGGGAAGCTGGAAGTTGTCATATAATTTGAAATCTATCCTTGTGGTAAAGAGAATTCCCTGCTAATGGCCACTGGGCCAGAGACTAGAAACCTTCCAGTAAACTCAGAAAGCCCCTCCCACAAAAGGTGGAGCCAGGTGTGCACATACCTACCTCCAAGCCAGGAGAGTGGCTGAGAGTTACAGTGCCTTTGAGGCACTGCCTCTTCCCCTCCCTCAAAAGCCAGTCAATCACCAGGTCTTAATGTTTTTACCTCTGAAATGTCTCAAAACCACCCACTTCTCTCAGTCCCCACTGCTAGTACTCTAGTCTCAGCGGTTGTTTTTCCCTGTGCCACCTCAGCTACCACCCCCTCCCATATTCCCCAGCTCCTACCCCCTGCTTAACACATTGCATACCGCATAGAGATCTCTAAGACATACGCCAGGGACCGCACGTTTATGGGCAAACTGCACGTTATTTAAATCATCATAATGCACTTTAGGTGTTGTTTTTCAATAATTATAACATTTTTATTTACAAAAACAAACAATTAAACAATTAAAGTTCCTAGTACTTTTTTAACGTATGGTACTTCGTAAAACATTTTCCTCTATGAAGAGGGACCAAACAAAATTTACCTAAGTATCTAGATTCGCTCCTTTTTCCATGGGAGTGAAAAACGAGAACATTCGTGAGCGGTCCTTAACAGATGGTGCGCGAAACACGAGAAAACTCCTGAGCGGTAAGAAATGTGTTAAGACCTTTCAGTAGCTCCCATTGTCCCTGGGATTAAATGCAAATTCTGTAACCTGTCCCCCCACCCCCAGGCCCCACAGTGTGCTTCTGCCAACCTCTGCAGTCCCACCTTTTTTTAATCCCCTGTCCCCACCTTCGGAGCCCAACTTTTGAATTTAGAAACTTCACTGTTCAATGTGTTCTCTTACCTCTTATCTTTTGGGGGGGGGGGGAATTAGCATATGTCCACTGTCCACTTACTTGGCTCTCTCTCCTGTGAGACTAGTGGGTTGGGACCAGATCTGAAGTACCTGGATCTCCTTGGTGCCCAGCAAAGGTGTTGGTTTATACCAGGCATTTAATAAAGTTTTTCAGTGAGTGGGAAATAGGGAAGTGAATGATGGTATTGTGGACAAACGTGGCTGATGGAACATAGTGACATAAACCTCATGCTCTGTCACCCCTACAGATGGTTTGGTCGACTGCATGGACCCCGACTGCTGCCTCCAGCCCTTCTGTCATGTCAACCCACTGTGCCTGGGCTCCCCTGACCCACTGGACATCATCCACCCCGCATGGAGCCCCCAGCTTCCACCCCCTGTGTCCCAGCAGAACCTGCACTCCTTCTATGACCGCATCAAGTTCCTCGTGGGCAGGGACAGCACACACATCATACCCGGGGAGAACCCCTTCGATGGAGGGTGAGTCCATTAGGCCCTGGTTTCAGCCATGGCTCTCTGAGGGAGAGCTGATTACCTCCAGGGCAACATTTGTGGGGATGGGGGTGGGGTGGGAGGAGGCCAGGAGGGGTGGGCATCAAAGGCTATTGATGGAATGTCAGGGGAGGGTGGCAGAGTAGTGGCCTCAGATGACCACATTTAGAAGGTACACTCTCCAAGGCATTTGGCATTTTTGATGAGCAAAGTTTTGTTGTTCCTGCTGGGTGATGGATGGGGAGAATGAGAAATCAATGGTCCAGGGGGAAGCTAGGATCAATACCCACTCTGCAGGCAGCCATCCCTGAGTCTGCAGTCCCAGACCAGCTGAAAGGCTCTAACACTGCTCACCGTCAGAACTGCTGTCCAGAGGCTTGTCAGGCTGTGGTGGGTCCACCTGCTAGGGTCCCAGGCCATGTGCCAGTGCATTCTTTCACAGGTTTTAGTTGTGTCAGCCATTGGGCAGTTTTTTCCTGGGATCTCCTCTCTGCAGGCCCTGTGCTAGAATCAGAGAGATGAATAAAATACAGCCCTGTTCATTGGCCACTCCAAGTACACTTACTAGGGGCATAAAAAAGAGATGGTTCCAGTGTGAGAAGCCAGAAATATGCCCCCAGGCAACTCTGAGATCATAAAGGAGGTGCTCCTGGGTAGGGGGAAGGCCATTACTTAAGAACTGCGTCTTAAAGATGGGAACTAGCTGGAGGGAGAGAGTGACCAGGGAGAGGGAACATGCAAAGACCCAGGAGCGTGAAAGGGCACAAGAGCCAGCAAAAGATTGCTCTCTATTCTTCACCCACAGAGCAGGGTCTGTGAACTAGGAAAAGGTGTCCAAAAAGGAGGGATTTATAGTAATTTCTTTTGAACGTCTTCCAATATAATAATGCCTCATAGATGCAGAGGTTTCTCTAAAGTCTGCTCAGTTCAACTGAGCACTCACAGACTATGTACCTTCTACCTTCATGATTTCTGTGCCAAGAGTTCCTGCCCTGAGGGGATAATGCGGTGGTGATGAAGGGTGGGAATGGTGAAGGACAGCCTCAAGTTTTGTTTAAAAAGGGAAATCAGGAGGGCTTAGTAATGGGTTGGATCTGAGGGATGCTAGAGCCAGGAGTCTCTTACTCAGATGCCTAGGTCGATGGTGGTACCCTCACCAGGGACCTGAGAGCTGAGCAGGTTTGGGAGTGAGGTGATGACCTCCACCTGAGCACCCTAAGGGCAAGGAAGGGACACACCTCCATAGGGCACATAAGAGGACATGTCTATAGTTCATAAGCAAGTCTGCAGCTCATGCACTGGTTAGGTAAGGCTGCAGATCTTGATTTGAGAGCCACCAAGAAACACGCAGGAGTTGACCACAAGCACACCAAAGTTTGCTCAAGGAGAATGAATGAGGGGAGAAGAGCCAGGACCTAAGAAGGAATCAGGAGAGCCACCCCCATAAGTGGTATTATCACCCCCAGAGTTTAACTGGGACTCCAAGAAGAAGGCCTCGCTGCTGGGCCATGATGGAGCTGGGTTTGCACCAGGGCCTAGCAGACTCCAGGGCCCAGGATTTCCCCAGCCCCGCCCTTTCTCATAGGAACAATGACAAGACCAGAAAGAGAAGTAGGGAAGTGCTCTGATCCCAGACAGAGAGGCATGACGCAAATGTGTAAAAGCTTTCAAAGGAACTTTTTTAGAGATGAAAGCACTTCATAGTCCAAATCCTTCAACCTACCCTTGAGAGGTTCAGTGACCTTCCCAAATTCACAAGCTGGTCAAGCGGCAGAGTCAGGGGCAGCACTAGAGCAAGGAAACCCCTCTTCCTTTATCTTGGCCAGAAACACTGCCTTTGTCTCTGGGTCAGAAGCTTTTGGCTCTCTCACCCAGCTGTGTGGTTTTGTATGTACGCTGTGGGCCTTCCCATGGCATGAGTCCTTTCAGTCAACTGGAGATGTAAATATTATTCCAGCCAAGAGGAATACTACTTACTCAGCCTTTCTTTACTGGACCCATTATGGAATCTGTTTAGGGCTGGTTGGCTTCCAGTGGCTGTTCTGCTTGTGGGATGCCCTCACCATGCCAACCTAGCCAGTGCCAGCAGGGACCATGCACCCCTGTGTGTCCTCTGGTCACTGGCCATGCCTGCTGCTTGTGTGCGGAGAATCAGTGGAACCTGCACAGGGACCTCAGTAGTGTGGCTCCAGCAGGTCTCACTTGCCTTAAGGAGCCTGTCTAGTGGGGAATGTGGGAAACCTGCACTGAGAGAAACTGACCTCTCAGTGGGAGGGCAGTATAGGCCTCAGAGTCAGGCCAACTTGTGCCTCAGAGCCTGGTTCTGCCTCTCTGGGTGCCCAGCTCTGGGCAAAGGGCTTCATATACCGAATATGCTCAGGACAAATATGCATAGATATTGCCTTGAACAATGAAGAAATGGAAGGAAGGAGAGAGGGAGGGATAAGGGGAGGGACGGTAGGAAGGAGGATGGATGGATACATTATCTGGTTTATTTAATTTTATACTGTGGTTCCAGAGTCCGGAGAGGTTAAATCATGTACTGAAAATCACATTACAGATTAGTAGCATTATTTCTATATCTGTCACCTTCAGTTAAATTACAGATGGGTTCAAAGAAGAGACCATTCAACTCCTCAAACCTATAATACTGGACTCTAGTATGTGCTCTGCAAATGAATGGATAATGGAAGCTTCCAAATGTTACTGTAAAAATTCTTTTTACCTAACATTTTCCTGAGTCATTATATCCCTACTCCTCACTGATCTAGATTCAAAGGAAACAGCTGCCCATCACTACCAAGTGTCCCCAAATAGATTTTCTTGGAAAACTAGCCCAGGAGACAGCAGATGCTTTTCTCCATGGATGACCACCTCCATATCCCATGGCCTCAATCTGGGCCAGAAATACAGTGCTTATTTGCTTAGTTAGGATACAGTGAAATCAGTTACCAAGTTTGGATTATTACTTTCTTTCCTCGCAGGTGAAGGAATGTGGAGAGACAGAAAGTGCCCAGAGTTTGAGTCCTGGCTTTACCTCCCACTAGCTCTGTGTGGCATCAGGGAAATGAGTTAACCTTTGTGCACCTGCCTCCAGTGATAAATTGGCAAGAACAGTGACTATTCATAAGAGCCATTGAAAGCATTACCCAAAATAAAGCACCTGGCACAGGGCGAGATACACAGGTGATCAGTAAATGGTGGCTTTTATGGCAGCAGCCTGGCCTAGTGAAAACAGTACAGCCTTTGAAATGAGGCAGAGCTGGATTTAAAGTCAGTTGCATCCACTTTCTGGCTATGTGACCTTGGAAAAATTCCTTAACTTCTCTGAGCTCTACTTTCCCCATCAGTAAGAGTGGGGTGGTAATGTCTATTTTGCAGGGTCACCATGAGAATTAAATAGAAAAAAAATGTACATAAAATCTCAATGTAGTGCTGGCCACCCACAGAATGCTTGCTAGTTATAAGATAACTAGAGGCCCAATGCATGAAGATTCGTGCAAGAATAGGCCTTCCTTTCCCTGGCTGCTGGCACCGGTTTCCCTCTGGCACCCAGGATCCAGGCTGCTTTGCTCCAGCCGCCACCAGGTATCTGAGGCCAGGGCTGCTTTGCTCCGGCCACTGCTGCCACCCACATGGGGTGTGCTCCAAGCCACGCCACACCCCCACCCCTGGTGTCTATGTGTCCGCTGGGGTGGGGGTGTGCTCTTCCACCCCTGGTGTCTGTGTGTCCGCTGGGGTGGAGGCTGCACACAGTCCCCTCCCGCCCATCTGTGCGCGCAGCTCCTCCTGAGCTGTCGTGATGCAGCCTCCTCCAGCCCTGCGTGATGCCCAGCTAATTTGCATATTACCTGTGTTTTTATATATATAGAAGGTGGTGATGAGGAGGAAGGTGATGGTGTGATGTTGCAGAGAGCTTCCACCTCCACTTCCTTAATTGGAAGTGAAACTTGAAAGTAACTTGTGCTCCAGGAAAGTCCAGCAGCTACCCTGAGAGAAACCGGTTCCGACTGTCCAGTCCTTGTTTGGGAAAAGGGAAAGGCAGCAGCATGCCAGCCGGCTGTCAGGGGATCCTCATTAGGGAGGAATCCAGTGGCACTTTCCCAGGGAGTGGGATTTCTGAGGGACACACAGACTTGACTTGGTGCCTGTATATAACACTAACAAGGCCTGTGACTGACAGAAAACCCCATATCCTTCTGCACCTCATATGCTGTGCTGCAATTTGTATAGTCTGAATGGGAGTCTGTTTAACAGGCTCCAAGAAGCAGTCTGTCAACCAGAAACCCAGCAGCATGTCTAAGCCCAGCAAGGCAAGGCAGGCCCAGAAGTACAGCTCCTTCACTCGGCAGACTCGCAGCTGTGTGTCTGACTCAGGGAGGGGGCTCCCTATGCTTCTGCGCAGCATCCCTGCTGGTGTCAGAGATACAGGAGCAGGGGTGGTCCTCGGGGGAAAGATGCGAGCAGCTCCCCAGGATGTGAGGGCCCCAGCCATGCAGAATGGGCTCTGGGCTGGGCTGCACCCCGTAGAGCAGTGGTTCTCAACCTTCTGGTCTTTTAAATACAGTTCCTCATGTTGTGACCCAACCATAAAATTATTTCCGTTGCTACTTCATAACTGTAATGTTGCTACTGTTATGAATCGTAATGTAAATATCTGATATGCAGGATGGTCTTAGGCGACCCCTGTGGAAAGGGTTGTTCGACCGCCAAAGGGGTTGCGACCCACAGGTTGAGAACCTCTGCCGTAGAGGAACGCATAGAGCTTGACTCAGAACTGAAGCAAAAGGGCTGCCAGATGGACTCAGAGTGAGGAAGCCGTCCCTCAGAAACGCTGTCTGGTTCATCTGTGTCCTAGAGCTCAGGACTATGCCTGGCCCAAAGCAGGTGTTCAGTACAAGTTTAATGAATACAGTAGCTCTATCTGACATTCTGTGTGGCTGTCCTCAACTCCACATAAAGTGATGGAGATGAGAAAGACTGCAGTT